TTTTATCCTTTATAATGTCTGTCTTTGCACAAAATGTTCCTTTAATATCTCCAATTTTCTTGAACAGACCTCTGGTTTTTCCCTTTCTATTATTTTCCTCTATATCTTTGCACTGTTCATTTAAGAAGGCCCTCTTGTCTCTCCTTGCTATTCTTTGGAAGTCTGCATTCCATTTTCTGTAACTTTCCCTATCTCCCTTGCATTTTGTTTCCCTTCTCTTCTCTGCAATTTGTAAGGCCTCGTTGGACAGCCACTTTGCTTTCTTGCATTTCCTTTTCTTTGGGATGCTTTCCCATTCTTTGGGGTGGTAACAGTAACATTAGTATCAATGGTAATAATAGTTTTAGAACTGCAGAGCTGGAAGGACCCTATGGATCATCAAGCCCAGTGCCTGTCAAGGGGGCATAACAAGGAATCGAATCGTCAACAACACATGCATCTTGTATGCAAATGGATATATAGTTTTAGTTGTAAATTTTGAGTGGAGAACCCAATCTCAAAATTCAAAGAGAGGTGCAATCCAAAGGATGAGTTCCATTCTTCATGGTCATGTGGGAATATCAAGTTGGTTCATTTATAGGTTAGTGGTTTGTGTATCTGGCTGCAGAATCACAGGTTAGGAGTCCAGTTCCCTGCTGTGACTCCTTGGCATTGGCTGGACTTGATGATCCATAGGGTCTCTTCCAGCTCTACGATTCCAAGACTATATTATTATTATATCTGGATTCGGTAGAGTATGTTTAGAACTTACAAACTGAATGAATGGTGGATGTATTTTCTCCCTTACACACCTGCTTACCATTCTGAACGACCAAACATAAGGCTTCTCCTTACAACTTCGAGCTTCTCTGAGAAAATTATAGGATATAAATATAATAAATAAATAATGATAAATAGGAGCTGTCTTCTCGCTGTAAAGAAATCTCCCAGCTGAACTATTTACACTAGAAATTGCAAATCTCAGCAGAAATTCTGATCTAGGATTAGGAACAGTTTATCTATTAGAATTGCATCATTAAAGCCTGAGGCTATACAGAAGAAGGCGGTACAGTACTTCAAATATTGCTTTTCAGCAAGCAGATACATGCTCACTGTGTGTAGTCCTGTTAAAAACTGAGTTGCTGTGTTTAGGATTGTAGTAGTTACCCTGTCATGCATATGCAGCAGTGTACAGTATTTGCATGAACCAATAGGGAGCTGTTGGGAGGCGAAGCCAGCTATATAGAAGGGGGGATGTAGCAGAGTGTAGAGTAGAGAGAGAGGAGTTAAAGAAGAGATTGACAGAGGAGAGAGGTTTGAAGAGAAGGTTTGGGTTTTGAGGCAGAGAGAGATTTTAGGGAGTGAATATGACTGTTCATTTGTATTGAAGATATTAGTGAAGTGTGTGTGTGTGTGTGTGTAACTTTAAGAATATGCTTAAGAACTATTCCTGAGACAACTTGTAACCAATTCTTATTTCAAAGTTAAGCACTGAATGAACCTCAGTCTTTCACAGGAAACATAGTAAAGAGATCAAATGGTGGCAGCTTGTAAAAGGACACGATGGGATACATAACATTAGCTCCTTGTTTGGTAAAACAAGCAGGGGGCCACATGGTAAACATAATAATTGGTGTCCAGCGGCGGGATACAAAATAATCTAGTAAAGGCAAAGTTTAAAAGTGAATTTTCTGGACTCGTGGGTACCTTTTAAGTTAGGTCTGTGGTGAAGAAGTGGGTGACCTGCTAGAGCTTTTGTGGAAAAGCTTAATGGGAGTTGGGAGAAGGAGCCATTAATCATCATCTTCCGAGTACGATTCTGTAGCCAACTGTGTATCTACCTGACAGTTGTTCCTATGCCTGTGATTTTTTTGCACGCAAGGAGAACCATTTATATTTTTTTGCTCCCAAGGTGAACCATTTATATATACTGTATATATATTTTGCTGCCAAAGTGGGGCAAATCAATTTATTTCAAAAATTGATTTATGACTTTTAAAATAACAGGCACAGAGTGAGGAGTTTTAGAACAAGATGATGGTGGTGGCGATACAGCAAAGCCTTTTTGCCTCCATACTCCTCCTGTGACCTTGATCTAGGCTTCATCTCCTGTGTTTTATTCTGAAACAATAACAACAAATCATAGTTTCCAGCTATATAGAGTGAATACACTCTTGTTTGGCCTGATGTTAAGGCATATGTTCCTCTGGATCTACATTTATTCTTATTTAATAGTGGCTTTATATTGCATATCCAGTTACTGCACTATTTTCTTTTCTATATGAATGTTTTGTGTGATGTTGTATCTCCTGTGTTTTATTCTGAAACAATAACAACAAATCATAGTTTCCAGCTATATAGAGTGAATACACTCTTGTTTGGCCTGATGTTAAGGCATATGTTCCTCTGGATCTACATTTATTCTTATTTAATAGTGGCTTTATATTGCATATCCAGTTACTGCACTATTTTCTTTTCTATATGAATGTTTTGTGTGATGTTGTCTGAACCATCTCTCTCTCTCTCTCTCTCTCTCTTTCCCCCCCCCCACACTCTTTCATGCATGGACATACACATTGGTTGTTGTTCTTCTGTCACCTACAGCCTCTGCTTAGTCTAACCAAGAATAATGACCCAGTTTCAAAGTATGTAAGGCAATGAAGGAAGTGTGCTTTTGCATAATATTAAAACAATAAATTCCACTGCAAAGTGCAGTAGGAACCTGATGATGCATACAACTGTTTTGGAGGTGTGCCCAAACTTTTTAAAATCATGAATTAGGTAGAGCAAACTAGTGAATATAAATATCCATGGTTATTTATATTTACCCAGCTTCTGCACATTTTGTGGGGGCAACAGTTTAAAATTCAAAGGTTTCATCAGGACTAGACATGGGATATTCATATCCATCTCCCATGGGCCATTTGGACCATCCCACCAGAATGGACCATTCCACTGACCACTCGCCTTGCAGTGTGCGTGGTCATTGTTGTTCATGATGTGCCCATCACAGAAGTAGCCTGGCTGGCGCTTCTCCACCTCCCTATACAGCCTGGGAAGAGACTTGGTTTGTTCTTGAACCATTTTTACTGGCATAGCAAATCAACAATTCTGTAAAGCTAATTCTAAAAATGGGGGTAGCCCAAACAAGAACATGTATCTCATGTTCAGATCAGCACAGTTGTAGCAGACATTCTGCTCTTTCTGTGTGCCTTATTTGGGATCTTTGGACAAAGAGTTTTAAAGTTTTTTTAAAAGTAATCTTGTTTTACCCTCCCATTCAGAAATAGGCGAGCCTAAATGTCTCCATATTTAAAACAGTTCATAGATACTGAAAAGACCAATATATTGAAAGAGAATGGTTGGCCCCACCCAATCCAGCCTCAATTTATTTTTTTTCCTTTTGCTTCCAGAGATATTTCACACTTGATTATGCTCTAGGACCCACTTGTTCATCCTTCTCGAGTCCAGGATACCTGCAAAGCTCTCCTCCAACACCATATTTCAAACAAAGCGATTTGTTCCTATCAGCTTTCATTATTGTTCAGCTTTCACACCCACACATGGTGACTGAAATTCAGGACTGTGGATGATCTTGATCTTGGCATTGATCTCCAGTGATACATCCTTACACTTGAGGATCTTTTATACAGTAGTTCCTTCATTGCTGTCCTTCCTAGTCTCGATCGTCTTCCGATTTTTTACCTGCAGTCTCCATTTGGATTGATGGTTGAACCAAGATACTGTATACAAAACCTTTAACAATTTCATTGTCAACATTAAAATTGTGTAGTTCCTGTGTAGTCATGATTTTTGTTTTCTTCAGGTTCAACTGCAATTCTGCTTTGGTGCTTTCTTCTTTCACTTTCCCTAACAGTTGTTTCAAATCACTGCTGCTTTCTGTCAGTAACATGGTGTCATCTGCATATTTTAAACTACTGATGTTTCTTCTCTACATATTGCCTGTACATATTGCCTCTACAACAGCCATATTCTCCTTGGATCTAACTGTTGGGTTTAGTCCACAGATCCATAAGAAAAGAAAAATGCTTTTGAATTTGCCATTTGCTAGTTAGTAGCTGGACAATCAACAAGGTCACAGTGCTTCTAGTCATTGTTAACTTGATAGGAGCTGAACTTGATGATCTATAGGGTCCCTTCCAGCTCTGCAGTTCTAAGATGATCATGCATTTCTTCTCCACCGGAAGAATAAAATATTTTGTTTTTCTATTGAAACAAGTCAGCATTATAAATTTTTGCAGCTGCATATATAAATGATCCTATTCTGTTTAAAAATCTAAAATCCTCTTGTGGCGACGTATCCCCTCCTTTCCGGCAAAGCGCTATGGGTGTAGTATAAACACAAAGACAGTGCAGATTTGTAAAAATCTTCCTATGCTTTATAGAAAACAGGGGCTTGTCATTAGAACACAGCAACATCTAGTGGTTAAATGAGAAAAGTACAAAAAGCCGAGTTCCCTGATAAATTAGCTGTCTAAAGTTGCAAATATTTAAAAAACCATAAGCCTCAAATCCCGAACACATCATGGCAGTACTGTAAGTTTAACTGAAGATAGTAGGGAATCAACCCTACCAATCATACACCTCAGATCATCAAGAAACAGATGATCTGAGGTGAAAAAAATGTCAAATTTCCGTTCTCTTTTGTAAGGCCAACCAGGAAGGCACAATAAGAGATAACTGTGTTCAGTGGGTCGACCTAAGAACGGTTCTTCTGCCCTACCACGCATTTTGACATCTCTAATAATAAATAATCGCGTGCCGGTTTTGAATGAAGGAGACCCTTATCAGGATTTCCAAGGTACAGAGTACTACTCAGAAGAAGTGAATTGATTTGAATAGAATGGGCGGGGATCTTTTTTTTTTTACTACAACTCCCAGAATGCCACAGAAACACAACCAGGGGCCACGCTGGCGAGGGAACTCTAGGAGCTGTGGTCCAAAAAAAAAAAAAAAGGTTTTCCTCCCAAGCGTTGAGCTCGGATTCGTTCCTGCCATTAACCCCAAAGGGGGCTCCCTCGCTGCCAGCCCGCCCCGGAGGAGGCACGGCGCTTCTCCTCAGCCCGCTCGGGGCCCTGGCCTGCGGGAGCTGATTGGAGACGGGCCGGTTCCGGGGCCTCCTTTTCCGACGTCGAGGCCTCATTTCCTGTGCCCTGCCTTCTGCTCCCGTCGCGGCTTGCCGGGGGTTGGAGCGCCTGGCCGGCTCCGGTGGTGCAAAAGGCGCCGCTTTCAAATATGGAGGCGGCGAGAGCCGGGCTGGTGGGCAGGGCGCGCAGACACACGCGCAACCAGCGCAACCTGTGAATGAACATCGCCTTAAAAACTCGCGCCTTTTTTCACCCAGGAAGGTGAGTGGGAACAGGAGTGGGAGCGCTCCCTTGGCGACTGCATTCGTAGGATTGGGGGCTCCCCTCAACATCCCTGGGGGTGTAAAATAAGCGTCGACTCCATAGGGAACTAACGGGGCACCAGCACTTCCTGCTTCCCTTCTGCTCTTCCATGTGGCTATACTCTTATTGCTCCTGGATCCTTGGATCCAGAGGATGATGATGATGATTTGCAAATACAGGATACAGTCTGCATGGTGTGAGATGCAAGTTTTAACCAAAAACCTAAGTATCAGTATAATACGCACACTGTTCTTAATATTGGCTCTCTCTTTTTTGCAGCTCTGATGGTGCTATTTCAGAGATCGACAACTGATGATGTTTTATAAAATTCTCGTGACTGTGGGGACCACCAAAATGTGTTTCATCCACAAGTTATTTCTATTGCCAGGTCTCTGTATTATATTAATTTTTCAAATTCTGTGTCTTCAACTCTGCCGCCTCCTTGAATTGCTATGTCAATCATGCAAACATTTATTTGTTCGGTTATTGTTATTTCTGATATATTACGCTCAAGGTGCCAGTCCATTTGAGTCTGGTGCTGTATTACCTTATTTTGTTCATTATTTGCTAGCAGCTCTTGACGTACTTCTGAAGGGGGAGTGCCGGCCAAATAATATACTTTTTCAGTAGGGGTAAGTTACAGGTAGCCAGTAATACTTGCATGATTATTATCCTTCATTAAGAGCTACATCTACTTGTTTGGCTGCTTTATAACGTATGTGACTAGCAAATTCTGCTGTGGAGTAGCATAGGGACAAAGCTGTTGTTCTTATTGTTTGTGTGCGCAGTCTAACCTAGAAATTTTCCTAGGTATGTTATTTCTGGTGGCCACTTTAGTTTGGTGTTTAGACAGTATTTTTTGTAGGTCAGGGTTTGAGCCAGAGTGACACCTAAATACTTTGGGATAAGGCAGTGTTCCAGTACTTTGTCTTAACATAAACCTTCTTGAAGGGTGGAAGGCATTCCTGAGGTTTCCCCCAGGCAATGGTATGCAGCTGGCTAATTCTTCCTATCCAGAAGTGTTATTTATTTACAAAATTTGCTGATGAACAAAATACTGTAACAATAACAACAATAAGAAGTTAGACATGACAGAGTGGCAAAATTAATGCACTGGTCATTATGCAAAAAATATAACTTGCCAGTCTCCAAAAACCCGTGAAAACATCAGGTAGAGCAGGTGTCAGAAAATGAGGAAGCCAAAATCTTGTGGGATTTCCAGATCCAAACTGATAGAAACCTCAAATATAACATCCTAGATATAGTAGTGATAGAATAAAGAATTGACATTGCAATTCTGGGGATGCTAGAGCTGAAAATAAAGAATCGGAAAAACTAACAAAATACAGAGACCTGGCAATCGAAATGTCTTGCCTCTGGAAGAAACACACTTCAGTGGTCCCCATAATCATTCTGACTTTGGGAACAATATCAGGAAATTTCACACGGTATTGTAAGCATTTGCAGATTTCAGAGATCACACCATCAGAGCTATACGTACAAAAATGGCAATATTAGGAACAGGATACATACAGCACCAATATTTAATTTAACAGATACTTAGATTTTTTTGGTTAAAACTAGTATTATATAACTCTATATAATACTAGGAAATGTTTTTATAATTTTGATTGACTGCCTGGTATTTTTGAATAATTATATATATATGATCATTAGTTTTTGACCAGCTCATCACCCCTATATTTGATTGACTGTGCCTGGTATTTTTGAATACTTATATATATATGGTCATTAGTTTTTGACCAGCTCATCACCGCTATACTGCATAAAATAATTATGCATGCCTTGGCTTTTCATTTTTGCAAAATTTGAATACAGGTAGTCCTAAAATGTATTTTCAAAAGCTAGCAATAATTACAGGTGTTCTCCATATGCTACAGAGCAGTGCAGTCTGTGTATGCCACAGAGGCTCGTTTTGTCACTGGAACCTCAACATGCGTATGTGGATGGAGTTCCTGTAACTTGCCGCTGAGCTGCTTTTGCAATTCAGGATAAGAAAGAGGATGCAGTCCAGTGTGAACAATTCTTTGAGAAAGGGGAGCTTTGGGCAGCTTTGTGTTTAAAATCTTACTAAGAACGAGCTGCACTGCAGAAAGTCCAAATTGTACTGTCCAAACCTTGTACTCCAATCATTTCCAGAAATGAAATGATCATAGAATAATGGAATCGAAAAAGCCCTATAAGACCTTTGAGTCCAACCACCTGCTCAGTGCAGGAATCCAAATGGAAGTATATAAGTACAGTGGTGCCTTGCATAACGATTTTAATTGGTTAAAAAAAAACATTATGTGAAACATCGTTATGCGAAACACCATTTTCCATAGGAATGCATTGGAAACCGGTTAATCCGTTCCAAT